GCACTAACAACAAAGCCTAGGAAGACAACCTCAGTAGTACAGAATGAACACTTAGAGAAGTTAGCAAAAAGGGATTGAGAACGAAGAACATCCAAAACTTGGCGGATGTGCCCTAGATGTTCCTCCAAACCTTTGTTGTAGATGAGAATATCATCGAAGTAGACCACTACAAAAACTCCAATGAATGGTCTTAAGGCATGGTTCATTAGACGCATGAAGGTACTGGGGGCATTGGTGAGACCAAACGGCATGACTTACCACTCATACAATCCTTGCTTGGTCTTGAAAGCAGTCTTCCGCTCATCTCCCTCCTTCATTCTGATCTGATGATAACCACTCTTCAAATCGATTTTGGAGAACACTGTTGACCCACATAACTCATCTAACATATCATCTAATCTTGGAATAGGATGTTTGTACTTCACTGTGATGTTGTTGATTGCTCTGCAGTCTACACACATCCTCCATGTTCCATCTTTCTTAGGAACCAACAGAACTGGTACTGCACATGGACTGAGACTCTCTCTGATATATCCTTTACTCATCAGCTCTTCTACTTGTTTCTGAAGCTCTTTAGTCTCTACAGGGTTGGTTCTGTAAGCCGGCTTATTTGGTAGCACTGATCCTGGCACTAGATCAATCTGATGCTCAATTCCGCGAATTGGGGGTAAGCCTGGGGGTATCTCTTCTGGAAAGACATCCTTGTACTCCTCAATGATCTCTATCACTTCATAGGGAAGTTTCTCTAACGGTTTAGTACTAGCCAGTGTTTCTTTGTAGACAAACATGAAAGTGGTTATCTCAGGATCAAAGAGCTTGTTGAACTCACTGTGGTTAATGTATAAACTGTTGGAGACTTTCTCTTTATCTTTGCGGTTCATGTGAAGTTGATCTTGGTAGATTTCGCTGGGGAAAAGTGGTAGAAGAGTGACCTTGCGCCCCTTAAATTCAAAAGTCTGCTTGTTGGTGTAGCCATCATGAAGAACTCTCCTATCATACTGCCATGGTCTCCCTAACAACATATGACTAGACCTCATAGGAACCACATCACAAAGGAGTTCATCTTCATACTTTCCAATGGCTAGCTTGACAAGCACTTGTTGAGAAACGGTGATGGCTCCTTTGTTGTCCAACCACTGCAGTTTGTAAGGTCTAGGATGTGAAGTGGTTTTAAGATTAAGCTTCTTTACCATCTCTTCACTGGCGGCATTGGTGCAACTTCCCCCATCTATAATCAAGGTGCAGACCTTGTCTTGAACTACACATCTGGTGTGAAAGAGATTCTCTCTCTGACCTCTATCATCTGGATGCACCTGAACACTCAAAGCCCTACATGCCACTAGCATCTCTCCAACTGCTGCTGCTTCCTCTTCTCCTTCTGTACCAGCATCTGATTCACTCTCTGAACTGTATTGCGGTACGATCTCTCCTCCCTCTTGCAGCAAAAACATCTTCTTATTAGGATAATCTCTAGAGTAATGTCCCATTCCTTGACACTTGAAGCATCTGACATTGCTAGTAGAAGTTCCTCTTGGTTTGAACTCGGTTTTAACCTCCTCCTTGATCGTTGTTGTAACCGGTTTTGTATTCTGAGTAGAGATTGGTTTGTTGAACTCTTTCGGTTTTGGTATGTTGGAGGTGAAGGTTGGTCTGTCAATTCTCCTCTTGATCTGTGCTTCAATCAGTTCGGCCTTATGCACCATTTCTTGCACATCCTCATAGTTCTGTAGCTCAACCTTGTCTTGAATCTCTCTGTTAAGTCCTCCCAAGAACCTAGACATCACCATGTCTTCTCCTTCTCTCAAATCGGCTCTAATCATCAAGGTTTCCAGCTCTTGGTAGTAATCTCGAACAGACTTTGTTCCTTGTATGAGGCGCCTAAGCTTGTTGAGAATCTCTCTATGATAGTGTGCGGGAACAAACTTCCTCCTCATCTGCGTGGTTAGTTGACCCCAGGTGGTAATAGGAAGTTCGTGATGCCTTTCTCTAGTGACTCCCAACTGCTCCCACCACAAGAGTGCATAGCCATTGAACTCTGAAACAGCTATCTTCACCTTGTTGAGCTCATAGGTGCCTTGAACCAAGAAGTTTGATTCCATCTTTCTTTCCCAATCTAAGTAAACTTCTGGATCATTATTGCCGTGGAAGGAAGGAAACTGAATCTTAAGGTGATTCAGCTGTTGTTTCAATGGGTCATAATCTCGGTTGTTGCCTCTGTTCCTGCCTCTCCTCACAGTATTAAAGCTATTGTCTGATCTCTCTTCTCCTTCAGAAGATCCAGGTTCTGTCTCCACATAAACTCTACGCCCACCAACGTTCTCAGCTCGGAGGTGTGGAGATGTTCTAGCAGCTCTGTGTCTCTCTCTCTCTGTTCCCTCAGCATTCCTTCGCCGGTTTACACTGGTTTCTCTCCTTCCAACAGGTGTTCTTGTAGTGTTAGCTCTGGGTTGTTTAGAAGAAGCTCCCATGTGTGCTTTTCCTTTGGCAAGGCGGATTGCTTCACTAGGGCTGGGCGGTTCTGATGAATCACTTTCTGCAGCACTGTTCTCTTTCAGAAAATCCTTGAACCGAGTCTCAAACTTGTCGTTGAGCTGCTCTATCTGTTGCATCAGCTGAGTAGCAACTGACTGATTAGCTTCTTTGATTTGTTGCGCCATGGCTTGATTCAGAGCTTCCATGGCTTATGCTGAAAGCTCCATGGTACCTGAGACAATCAAAACAACAATCAAAGTAAAAAGTTCTCAAGATAACAAGTTTTTAAGATTGCTTAAAGGAAGGAATACAACTCCTAAAACTATCAGGGAAACGAACATACAACCTATTGCTATTAGGAAATCGAAACTAAACACTAACTTTTATGAAACAACAAAAAAAAAGGCAAACCTAAGACTCTTAGGACAATCGATTTAACAAAAAAAAGGAAAAAGAGGGGTTTAGGGTTTCTCAGCCTTTGGTTCAGAGTTGGCTCTGATACCACATGACACGATCTCCCCTGGAACTACTCTGAAGATAAGCTGATGAAGATCAAAGGATGATTGCGAAATGGTGATGATGATCGTGTGAAAATGGGAAATGGTAGTGTAGAGTGAGATTAGAATGGTTTTAAGGGGTTTAATGGAACGTTTTAGGTGATAAAATGGAAGTAACAGATAGTAGAGTTTCAAGAACACTTGATGAATAGAAACTCGGATCCACAAAAACACATTCAAGAGATCAAAGGGTGAGAGAAGAAATGCAGCAATGGCTGTTTGTTTAACACTTAGTTCTTCGCTGATTTACAAAAGGGGGCGTAATACAAGTCTTATACTATCCTAAAAACCAAACAGCATGACGTCTAAGAAAGAAAACAACAGAACATCCAAAGTAAAGAATAAAACAACAAGGCGTCCCATTCCTTAGAATCCTAATTGGTGCGCCTGAAAATACTAAGTATAAGGCCAAAGTAGCTCATACATTTATTACCCATTGGCAATAACTCCTAAGTAACTTGACGTAGTGATTCATCTGCCTCATTAAAAACCATGTTGAGAAAACCCAATGGGACAAAACTCATCATGGGAAAAAGAGTACAGACTCCTCACCTAAGTTACTTAGTTATCATTACCGGGTGGAGTCTTCTGGTTGAAGATGTTGAAAACTTGAATAACTGGTAGGTTGCATAATCCTTCTGCCATAAGTGCATGAACTTCCTTAGCCAGTTCCTTAGCTCTGGAACGAGTGATCCTCCCTACTATCTCCGGTTCCTCCTCTGGTTCTGCAGCTACCGTGCTATCCCCTATCATATCAGGACCACTAAGATCATTCCCGCTTAAGTTTCTATTTAAAGAAGAACAACTCATGCATAAAGACACATGACTCAAAGAGGAATTGAAAATTTATATAAAATATGGTGAGCCAACTTACATGATCAACAACGATTTCATCTGGGCAAGAAACTCGGGGACCCCTCCAGTTAATGCGTTATTTGACAAGTCCCTTAAGTGATTTCCAAAATAAGGTAAAGGTCACTCGGTTTACTTCCATAGAAAGAAAAAACTACGATTTTGCATTCGATCAACAATGAACATACTTACAGTTTTTGTAGCTGCGTAAGGTTTTGAATAGCAGCTGCTATGGTTCCCGTTAAGCCGCTTGAAGACAAGTTTCTGGAGATTCAAAGCATGATCATTAATATAATCTGGAGATAAGTACGCATGTGCGTGTGTGATCTTGCGACTTACAAGGACGTTATTCTTGGAGGTGTAGAAATATCGGTGTTGCTACAGTTCAAACCGTCCCAGGCATACTGTTGAGGGACGCAAGGATCTCCATGCCACCTTATTCTACTCAATCCATAGGCAGCTTCGATGTTTTTGATAGCAACCACTGATGTAAAAGTTCAATGACGTGAGGATTAAGATCTAACATGACAGACCTTATCTGCAGGACAGTGAAACTAAAACAACGTACCATCGTTTTCATTTGTTTCCGATTGTGGGAACTGGATAACTGTGTAGATCTCAAGAGCGTTAAGTAGAGGAGGAAGAGTTGATCTTGAGGTTTTTCTAAGCTGGTAGCTGCATTCCCCTTCTTCGCAAGCCTCTGGAGAACGATTTAGGAAAGTATCTAAGACTAACTTCGAAGGAACGAAAGCTTCCGTAGTAACAGCTCCGTTCCATACCAAGTCAAACTCTCTGGTGTCGTTGGCCTGTAGATCTTGTACCTCGGCAAAGTGGCTGTACAAGTAATATTGGTCATCAGGATTAACCAAGTCCAAGTGATTGTCAACGGCGCACTCGCATTCGAAGGCGTGGCAGCAGATGCAAGCGCCTTTTTCGGTGGAGCATAACTGTTATCATTGCTCACTTCGAGAGTGGTGGAGATCTGGTTCCAGCTCGTCAGAAAGAATTTAAACCACCTGCGATCATAAACATCATCCGGGTACCTAATGTGGAACAAATGTTGTATTAGCCTTTTGAATAAAGTGTTATGATGAATATTTGATTCATTTGCGCATTGACTTACCGTAGAAAACCATCTGTCTTGTTGAGATATATTCGAATGAAAAGCTTCAGAGAACCGGACTTTGTGGGATAAGACCTATTATCCAGCGGCCGTAACTCCAAGGCTGAGATCAACGGTGTGGTCGTCCCAGTCTTAACGAGACAAACCTGCAACGAGCTTGATGTTGGGATGTGAATGATCTCCTCCATTGTACCATTCACAAACTTTTGCAAATCTATTGTTGCCCACAGATTAGGTCCTAGATGCAGATCAAATATCGGGTTAGAGTTGAGACCATCGTAGTTCCCATACAAGAACCCAGCCCTGATCAAGTATCTCCTATCTTTTTCAACACTAAGTGTATAGCAGTTCCTTCTCTCGTCTGGAAAATATCTCAGCCTCGCGTAAGGCTTCAGGTAGTCACCCACCAGATTAGCCTGGATTTTACCAGACTCACCGGTCTGGATGAACTTAGCATCAGACGAGAACCGTAGTCCGGTTACTGGCTCGTTATAAGGAGACAGTTCACTCACGGGTAACCCGCAGTCCAAACTGATGAACCCTGGCAAGAGAGAAGTACAAACATCATTGATACGAAGCAATAAGTAGAAGTGGATGTGGATGTGTATACATATAAACCATTAAAATGTGGATACCTTGTTGATCCTGAGCTTGAACAAGACAAACAATGGCAAAAACTCCTAATAGCAGCACCAAGAGCCAACGAAGACTCTCCATTGTAGTTACTTAAGCCATTAGCAATGCCTGAGTTTGAGAGAAACTTTACATATATGTAGATAAGGAAGCCAAGCCTCTGGCAACATGGCAAGATGTCCTGAGTCTGGAAATTTACAAAAACAAAAACGAAAAACGAATGAGTAAATATGTTTTCTATTGCAACTTCACGAGAATACATCTGTGTTATAGTTTTTCGGTCAGAAAATAGGCAACTTGTGTTTTCGAGAGAATCAGTCAGTCATCATGGAATTTCCAGTCACCACCACTCTTTGACGCATTAAAAATGAGAGCAAAAGATTTGACTTTCTATTGATCATTGACTTGGGTTAGAACGTATCGGATAAATATCTTAACTTAACAAGAACATCTTCAAAAGTCGCTCACAATTATCAATTGACAAGACTGACACTATCAGTTGATCAGTTCTAGTAGATATTTACTAATATCATAAACTTCGAATTAACAAAAGTGTCCATTTTACCTTTCGACCATGAATCTATGAGAATTCTGGGTCCCATTTCTTTCAGCCGGCACAGTAGCTGCGTGGAGAGGACAAAGATGAAGAATCCCCGGCGGTAAATCGACCATATACGGCAGAGAAATCTCCCGTTGTTAGAAGAAGAATGCATGTCCATCAACATAACCGGTAGTTAGACGACGGCGATGGCGATAAATCCACCTCTTCCCCGGCGATAGCACTAATTTGAGAATCGCGGTAAACGACTGGAGTGCTAAAAACGCAGCCAAAGGAAGCTCGCGTTTTGACCCAAAAAAAAAGAGGAAGCTCGCGTTTTTAAACGCAACGCTATTTTAAGCAGCGGGAAAATGATTGTGGGCCGGTTTTGTATGGCCCATTATAGAACTCTTTTTATCCATAACAATTTCGGATCCAATATCTAGCATGTATCAGTAAACTGTCGTCACTTTCATCGTCTACGCGAATCAGTCAGCAGCAACCGAAGAAATATCCCCGGAAGACCCAACCGAGAGAGAGGAGAGATGAGGTTGTTCGATCCATGGCCAGTGTTCTTCAAGAGGGAGTGGAAACGATGCTGGCCGTTTATCACCGGATTCGCCGTCACCGGCGTCCTCATCACCAAGCTCACGGCTGGACTCACTGGTAAGTTGCTCAGATCTGACCGATCTTCTATGGAAATGACAGAGCTAATCCTCAAATCGATCCGTATTTCTGGAATCAGATCGGATATAATCCGAGGCTTTCTTATGTCTTGTGTATCGTGGTTGATTGCTGGATCGATGGTTGTGGAAGCCCTAATTTTATATAAATTGTTCGATTGATTTGCAGAGGAAGACGCCAAGAACTCGAAGTTCGTCCAACAACACAGGCGGTAATGTCTTTACTCTTTCGATCAATCAGTAGTATCCCCATTTCAGATTTTTTGATGTTTTGATGTTCATTTACGATTTGGGAAATGACTTCAGAAACTGATTGTGATTTCTCAGCACATTTAGTCCCCCGTTTCATTCAGGATTCTTTGAATTGACTGTCATATTGTAATCTTCATCAATCTTAATTCATGATTTGGTCGTGTAAGAGAATACGGGCTATCAACTTTAAGTCTTAGCTAGCATTTGTTCCAAATCTCAATGCCTATTGGTTGTTTTCTCTGCATCTGTGTTTTTGAGCCAATTTGGTTCTGTATGTAGTTTTGCCTGATGCATTATGAGCCATACATGAATTTTCCAACTTCTTTCAGATTATCTAAAAGTGCTGGATCATCAGGCTCATTCTCTTAACCCTGTTATTATCATTACAAAAGTCTCAATCTTTGAATCCTTTGATTGATTTGGTTATAAGATATAAACACACAGGTTTTGCAAACACTAACCATCCTATGCATTTGTTCATGATTGTTTTGAATTTCAGGTGATCTACTAATGTGCAATGTTGAAGCTGAGAAAGAGAGAAGGTCCTTACGAAAACTATTGAAGAATGCTTCGGCTTTCAAACCTATTCTAATAACATAAAAGAGAGAATTCTAGATACAGTTTGATCTCTCTTTTTCTTCTATCTTTTTTCTTTCTTTCACAACTCTTGAACAGTGCAAATTCGACTTTTGTTGATCCAATCTTTTGTTTGAAATGGATTGATTCCTCTCTTTTGTGAACCAAAAAAAAAAACGAATGATGAGAGACTCCACGATTGTGGCAATGTTGTGTTGAATCGAATGTGGATGATTCATATACCATCATCATCAGTGATAAATGTCATTACAAGAGTTAACTAAGCATCGAAAGTGGATGATTTATATACCATCATCATTAGTGACAAATGTCATTTTACCATAAAATCTGAGAACTATGGCAATAGAACCAATAGAAGCAGGCATTAACTAGTCCGAGACAAAGCTAATGATGAAGAGACTCCAAGAATGTTGCAACGGTTGTTCTTCCCGGAGACCTACGCAAGAGATCGAGAAACGGCATGAGCTTATTCACCAGACCCCAAAACTGATGATCCCCACGCGTGAGTGTTGTCAGTGCCTTGACCACAACGAAACCCCCAAACTCACTCCTCGCCAGCCTCATCAGCCTGAGTCCTTCGCACCCCAAAAGCTCCGCCACCACCAAAGGCGTCGACTCCTCCGTCTCCAAAAGCTTCTCCACGATGTAGCTTCCGTACTTCCGAAACGATAGCTCCACGCAATTGCCACGGAGTCTAACCGCAATGTTCCACGTGCAATCCAAGTCATCCAGTTTAAGCACGTGTTGGACCACAAAGTTCCCGTAATCATCGTAGCTCAGCAAGAGAGCGTTGGCCGCGACCATGCCCATGAGGTGGCTCCTGCCGTCAACATCTTCCACGTTGGTCATGATTGCGTCGAGCGCGACGCAGCCGTGTCGGTCACACGCCAGTTGAATCGCGTGGAGGTGGATGAGGCGCCACATTTTCGTTTTCTTCTCCCGGCTGAAAACTCGCATCCCTTGAACCGCGACGTAGTACGCTTGCTTGTCGGTCATGAAGTCGTAGAAGCGTCGCAAGATAGCGGCGGCGAAGAGATCGTCCGCGTAGCCTGATCTCCCGAGGAGTTTCTGAAGGCGTTTGGAGCCGTTCTTGTTACTTGCAATCCCAAAGAAGTAGTCATCGGAATCTGACGTCAGCAACGAGGCCATCCTCTGAAGATCGCGTCCGCTTAACCCTGAGATCAACTGTTGAAACGGAGCCGCGTCGTCTTCTTCTTCTTCGTTTCTATTCATCAAGTTGAACAGCGATTGCAAACACGTCTCCCTTTCTCGAGGATTTAAGGCGGCGGAGGCGGAGCGAAATGAGTTGGTTAAAGATTGAAGATTTTCTTCATCAAGATTGGTTTCTCTTCTTGGTGCGGTGGATCGCGGAGGAGGATTGGCGATGGGAGTTTCACGTGGAGGAGGAGGAGGAGGAGGAGGAGGAACCGCCTGATTCTCTTGTTCGATGGAATCTCTTGCGGCGGCAAAACGGAGACTGTGAAAAGCACGGAGCGTTGACATCAACATCGAAAAGGGATCGCCGGAGTTTGCCATTGTATACGTTTAATTCTACGGAATGGGATTACTCTCTCTCTCTCCCTCTGTGGGAATTATAAAGGGTTTTGTGTGATAGTAGAGAATGTGAAACTCTTGACATCTGTGGACTGATGATGATGCCTATTTATAGGAAAGTAAATATGGTTATGTTATATAGTTGATACTTTGAAATATTTCACTCATCTAATTCACGTTAGGGGACATGCATGCACCACTACGGAGTTTCCTTAATCTGGTTGATTAATTCGTCTACTAGATGGATAATTAGAAATGTGATTTTATTAGTATTAATCTAAATATCTCCAAAACAGCTAAAGATGATTTTTATTAGTTTATATAATCTCTGTTTTTATGTTCTTGATTAAATCATGACAGAGACTCCGTTCTTGATTCCGCCCTGCTTCAAGACGCCAAGAACACGAAGTTTGTGCAACAACACAAGAAGGGATCTATTTCATAGGATGTCACAGGATCCAAAACACTAACCATCATCTGCACTTTTTCATCGTTGTTTTGAAATTTCAGATGAAATGTCCTTATTGAAAGTGCTGTGAGTGCTTCAGCTTTGAATCCTGTTCTATATAACATATAAAAAAGAGAGAAGGCTACATGATGCTGTTGATCTCTCTTTACCTTCTTCTCTGTGTTTTCACAACTCTTGAACACTTATTTAAACTTATTTTGGTGATCAAACCATAGATTTCAGTAAAACCGGATCATGAGTCCACGATTGTTGTGGCTTTGGTTTGTTTAAATCGAATTTTAAATTGTTTATATGATTAATGATAAACCTCACTACAAGAAATAACTTAAGCATAAAACCGAGAACTTTCAAGCAATATATGATACTAACAGGAACCAAGGCATTAACTATTGAGACAAAGCTTCACAAATCGAGTCCAAGATTGCTGCAACGTTGCTTCCACGAGACCTGCCCAAAAGAGAGCGAAGACGCATGAGCTTATGCACCAAACCCCATAACAGATATGGCCTAACCATAACCTCCTCCTGCGTGAGTCTCAGTGCCTTTCCCACCACGAAATTCCCGTACTCGCCCCTCGCCAGCCTCAGCAACTTGTGGTCGTTGCACTCCAAAAGCTCCACAACCACCACAAGCCTCGACTCATCCGTCTCCAAAAGCCTCTCCACGATGTAGCTTCCGTACTTCTGAGACGCGAGGTCGACGCAATGCCCATCGAGTTTAGCGGCGATGTTATACGTGCAACGCAAGTCATTCAGTTTAAGCACGTGTTGGACCACAAAGTTCCCTGAATCATCGTAGCTTAGCCAGTGAGCGTTGTGCACGACTATGTCTAGGAGGTAGTTCCTGTAGAAAGGATGGTCCAAGTCGGTTATGGTTTCGTTTAGCGCGATGCAGCCATACCGGTCACGTGCCAAGTGAAGCGCGTGGTCGAGCGTGTACTCGTACATTGCTTCTTTCTTCTCGTCGTCGAAAACTTGTAGCCCCTGCCTCGCCACGTGGGACGCGTGCTTGTCTGTCATGACGTGGAAGAAGCGGCTCAAGATAGCGGCGGAGAAGAAGGCGTCGGCGTCACTTGATTTCCCGAGGAGTTTCTGTAGGCGTTTGGAGCCGTTCCTGTTTTTCGCGATCTCCAAAAAGTAATCGGAGTCTGACGTCAGCAACGACGCCATCCCCTGAAGCTCTGTTATGTCTAGATTCGAGATCATATCTTTAAACGGAACCGCATCATCCTCGTTTTCGCTTTTAGTCATTAAGATGAACAGAACTTGCAAACACATCTCCAGCTCTTGACGATTCGAGGGGGCGAAGAATCCGACGGGGAATGAATTGATTTGAGGTTGGTCGTCTCTTGGAGGAGGAGGAATGTTGACGTGGGTGTCACGTGGAGGAGGAATGTTGACGTTAGTGTCACGTGGAGGAGAACGAATGTTGACGTGGGTGCCACGTGGAGGAGGACGAATGTTGATGTGGGTATCACGTGGAGGAGGAATGTTGACGTGGGTGTCACGTGGAGGAGGAGGAACCGTCGGAGACTCTTCTGTTGCGGCGGAAAGACGGAGATGTTGTAAAGAGTTGAGCATCTCCGACATTGTCAAGCGATCGTCGTTTGCCATTGTATGCTTTGATTCTAGGCTTCTAGCTTGTCTCTAAGGAAGTTTAGGTTTTTGTTGTGGGATTGTGGGAATAATGATGCGTATTAATTAAATATTTATACAACAATACTCAGATTAATACTTTTCGGAATAGGAAAATATATCTGCCGACTTGTACAGCTAAGTTTCCTTTTTCAGTTTAAAATCATACATATTTTCCTTATTCCGACTAGTTTTGTTTAGTTTATTTTTTTTGGTTTGATATATAGCAATTAGCAACGTTGCTAAAGTTTCCTTTTTCCCTTTTTCGATTTTTGAATCGTAATATACAGTTTCCTTTGTACCGATGGTTCTGTTTGTAACACCTTATTCAGAGTGATTTAGGATTGTGATTTTTTTTATTATTTTGCTTTATGATTTAGAAAAATTTGTTTCGACAAAAATATATATTTTCGTATAATATGAGAGATTACATAGTCACAAGACAAAAGGTGTCTTAAACAACTACGTAAAAAGATTTTCCGGCAAGTTTAGAGATTATTGCAAGCCAAGATCTTTTTTCAATTGAGCTAGGGTTGCTTCGATCTCATCAATATTATCTTCTATACTGTTTTTCGTGCTATTAGTATTCCCTGACGATTTCTCCGTAGAGGAGCTTTCGTCAAAAGCAGATCTTTCTCCTTTTTTGCTTGATCCCTCATTGTCTTCATCGGTTATGTTAAGTTCTTTCTCAAGAAACTCCACAAATTCTTCCCCAATTTCCTGAGAACAACAAATGATAAGAAACATGAAAATCAAAAGGAGCCAATACGGGTTTCAGTCTACATCCATCAGAACAAAGTTCCCGCGATAAAGAGTTACTATATAATATGTTTCTCCAATGGATTTTCTGGATTGACGCGTTACACTTTCTATACCAACTTATGAGAGATAAGGTTTATGGAAGAAACTCAAACCCTTAAACAGAGGGAAGATCAAAGGTTTTGATAGCCACGAAATTTCGAGTTCAAATTCATATTTGACACGCATTAAGGACTCTGTTTTATATTTTCAGGCTTACCGCTAATTCCTCCCAAAGACTTTTCGGTGTTCCTTGTGGGGACGCACTAGCTTCCCAGCTCTTGAACTCTTCTTGAAGATCTTTGAAGAAATCTCCTGTTCATACCACAGAGAGTGAGCCTCTAAATGAACAATTAACTACAATTATACAATGTCCTGTGCATAAAATCTCTAAACGTGCAAAGAAACCAATCTAATGACAAAACCAAAAAAAAAAGATTTCACAGGTTGCGTCTACCGATTGTTATTTGAACATCCCTCACGAATTCACCTGCATAATAAAGTGATGCTGTGCATAAGATAACACTGACCTCAATCAACCTAAGTCCTCCCCAAAAAAGATAACACCGCACAACACTTCTAACCACAGCCATTAACGGCCTAGCATGCACATTAAGTTTCCAAACACCAGTAACAATTTTTACACAAACCCAACATAGCATTGGTGTTGTTTGAAACCCTGTGTGAATACTTGTACACCATGGCCAAACAAAATAATGCTCCAGGCTAAATTGCGAAATGATGTCAAACCATAGTTTAGCGTTATGCTTCATAGTATCCACTTTAAAAAGCAGGATCCTTTATGGTGTATTCAGTAAGATCAGTTAGGGTTTTACCAAGTCCATAGAAATCTTCCTCGACTTGACTGTTCCTTTTTCCGCTTGTCTGACCCGAAGAGTACGAATAACCAGACGCACGACCCTCTGACCCGTACTTGCGCCGTGACTCAGAGTTTATCAAAGTGGTGTATGCATGTTTTATCCTCAGAAACTTCTCCTGCGCATTTGCCTGTGTGACACCAATAACAGCTACTAGTAGGTATAGTGACACACATATACACATGAAAACGCCATACAAAGTCACAGTTCCATGACTCTTTGCATGTATAAATGCAAATATGTAAACAGATATAGCTCCAATCACAAACATAGTTTCAAATTCAGTTGATTTCACAAAGCATAACCCAGACGAAATTCGATAGAAGCCACAATAATTTACCTCTTTATTAACATCTGGGTGATATTTCAGAGCAAGTTTACGGTAAGCCCTCTTTATATCTTGAGGAGTCGCCGTCGGAGACACACCAAGAATCTCGTAAGGAGAGACTCTAGCTCTCGGTACTATGATTCGACTTCTCCGTCTTTGATCCCAACTCCGTCGATTATATAAAGAAGCTCGACCGAAATCGCCGCCATAGCAGCAATTTGTTACAGGAAAACCCAGAAAATTTATCCGATAGAATAACGAAATCGGAGGAAGACGAGGAGAAAGGAAGAAACTTTGTGGTGTTGGAGACAGAATCGAAGATGTTGTTGCATACATAATTTTCTCTGCCTCATTGGATCGAATTTCCTCCTATTTGGATAATCGAATGCGGTTTTTGTTTAACCGCTCCTCTGATTTCCGGTTATTTATCAACCGTAAAATGTATTCCGGTTCGAACCATTTAACCGCTCCTCTGTTTCTTACTTCTTCTTTCTCTGTCCGATAACAACAAAATCCGCAATTTTTACTTCTTCACTAAAATGTGTTATGCTTTTCCCGCTTACTGGAACCTACCACCATCATAATGCAGTTTTTGATCAATTTTGAAGCTTTGATTCGAACCCATGAACAAATTTTCAATCATTCCTTGTTCTTCTCGGTTATTGTCAATCGGTTCTTATGCTGAACTCATCGAAACGAGCGGTCGAAATCGACTGCTTTGCGGAGGAAGAAAGCTTCATGCTCATCTGGTTACGTCTGGGATTTCTCGCTTGACGAAGATTGCAGCTAAGCTTGTGGCGTTTTACGTGGAATGTGGGAAAGTTACAGATGCTAAGAAGGTGTTCGATGAAATGCCCAAGAGAGACATTAGTGGATGGGTTGTCATGATTGGGGCTTGTGCTCGAAGTGGCTATTACCAGGAGTCTTTGGGTTTCTTCGGAGAAATGAATAAAGAAGGTTTAAAACTTGACGCTTTCATCGTTCCTAGCCTTCTTAAAGCAACTCGCAATCTGATTGATCAAGAATTCGGGAAGGTGATGCATTGTCTGGTGCTCAAGTGTTCGTTTGAGTCTGACGCTTTTATAGTCAGCTCGCTTATTGACATGTACTCGAAGTTCGGAGAGGTAGAGAATGCGAGGAAAGTGTTCGATGATTTTGCTGGACAAGATTTGGTCGTGTTCAATGCTATGGTCTCTGGTTTTGCTAACAATAGCCAAGCAGATGAAGCATTGAGCTTGGTACAAGATATGAAACTAGTGGGGATAAAAGCTGATATAATCACTTGGAATGCTCTGATTGCAGGATTCTCGCATATGGGAAATGAAGAAAAAGTATCTGAGACTCTTGAGATGATGTGTTTAGATGGTCACAAGCCCGACGTTGTGACCTGGACTTCTGTTATATCAGGCCTTGTGCATAACTTTCAGTACGAGAAAGCTTTTGATGCTTTTAAACAGATGCTAGCTCATGGGTTGTATCCAAACTCAGCTACGATCACCACCCTTTTGCCTGCGTGTACCACACTCGCGAATGTCAAGCACGGAAAGGAGATTCACGGCTACTCGGTAGTCACCGGACTAGAAGATCACGGTTTCGTTAGAAGCGCTTTGCTCGATATGTACGGGAAATGCGGATTCATCTCAGAAGCAATGATCTTGTTTCGCAAAACGCCCAAGAAAACAACGGTTACTTTCAACTCGATGATCTTCTGCTACGCGAATCACGGGCTGTCAGACAAAGCAGTCGAGCTTTTCGATCAGATGGTAGCCACGGGAGAGAAACTTGACCACTTGACATTCACGGCCATCCTCACAGCCTGCAGCCACGGCGGGTTAACCGATCTTGGGAAAAAGCTGTTCCTTCTGATGCAGAACAAGTACAGAATCGACCCGAGATTGGAGCATTTTGCTTGTATGGTGGATCTTCTAGGCCGAGCGGGGAACCTTGTTGAGGCCTATGAGGTGATCAAGGCTATGCCAATGGAGCCGGATTTGTTTGTGTGGGGTGCTTTATTAGGCGCGTGTAGGAATCACGGGAACGCGGAGCTTGCAAGGATTGCAGCAGAGCGCTTGGCTGAGCTCGAACCAGAGAACTCAGGTAATGGATTGCTTCTGTCCAGTTTATATGCCAATGCTGGTAGTTGGGAAAGTGTTGTGAGAATGAAGAAGATGATAAAGAAGAAGAAGTTGAGAAGGTTTCCAGGCAGCAGCTGGATAGGTACTGTTTGATCCTAAAGGCTCATTTTGATTTGATCATCAAATCTCTGACTTAGATTCTGATAAATGTTATGATCATATGTAGAAAAAAACAGCTAAAAAATTACAACATTTTAATGATTTATCAATTGGTTGTATAATCTTAATAATTACTAGATCATCTTGAAGAGTACTTTATTAGTCTAAATGGTAGTTTAATGATTATTTTAGTAACAAGTCTCATAAATATCTAGAAGGGTGAGTTCTCTATCTAGAAAGGGAAAAGATAAAGATACATTTATTAGAAAAGGACAAAGTAAGCCTTTACTTTATTTTGCCGATCGTGAAATAGATCTTTCTGAGGTACTCTCTTCTGTGTTTTCTCTGTCTTGTTTTATTATATAACTTGAAGTCCAGCCATCCTTTCCCCACGGGCCACGTGGTTGTGCATGTGCTGGTCCGTCCACACAATTAAAGAAAGTTGTTTTCCCCAACTTCAAGTTTTCTCTACTCTGTCCTTGTGCTGATACTTCTCACGTGTCTATATACCATCCAGATTCAGACCAGATCTAGTTGAAAGTATCCCCATCTGTCTTCCGTTGAACAAGGGAGAATGGAGGAAAAGCGACTGAAGAGAAGGATAGTGTTAGTTCCAGTTCCAGCACAAGGGCATGTAACTCCGATTATGCAACTCGGGAAAGCTCTATACTCTAAAGGCTTCTCCATCACTGTTATTCAGACACAGTACAATCGAGTTAGCTCTTCCAAAGAGTTCTCTGATTTTCATTTTCTCACCATCCCAGGCAGTTTAACCGAGTCTGATCTTAAAAACCTCGGACCGCTCCAGTTTCTAATGAAGCTCAATCAAATTTGCGAGGCAAGCTTCAAGAATTGTCTAGGTCAACTATTGCAAGAGCAAGGTGACCATGATGAGATTGCTTGTGTCGTCTACGATGAGTACATGTACTTCTCTGCAGCTGCACCTAAGGAGTTTCAACTTCCAAGTGTTGTCTTCAGTACGACAAACGCTACTGCCTTTGTCTGCCGCTCTGTTTTGGCCAAAGTCAACGCAGACAATTTCTTGATCGACATGAAAGGTAGACAAGATTCTAGGTTTTTTTTAACTCAATTTCAGAATCCCGGCTAGATCTAGTGGTAACCAATGCAAACGCCGTTCGCTTTGCAGATCCTGAAGTGCAAGACAAATTGTTTCCAGGATTGCATCCTCTAAGGTACAAGGACCTACCAACTACAGCATTTGGGCCACTAGAGAGTATGATCAAGGTCTACAGTGAAGTTGTTAACACTCGAACAGCTTCCGCGGTCATCATCAATTCAGCGAGCTGTCTAGAGAGCTCCTCTTTGGCACGGTTACAGCGAGAACTACAAGTTCGGGTGTATCCTATAGGCCCGCTTCACATCGCAGCTTCTGCACCTTCTAGTTTGCTTGAAGAAGACCGGAGCTGCATCGAGTGGTTGAACAAGCAGAAACCAAGATCAGTGATTTACATAAGCTTGGGAAGCTTAGCTCTGATGGAAACCAAAGACATGTTGGAGATGGCCAGGGGCTTGAGTAATAGCAAGCAACCTTTCTTGTGGGTGATCCGACCAGGTTCTATTCCCGCCTCTGAGTGGACAGAGTCCTTACCGGAGGAATTCGGCAAGCTGGTTTCAGAGAGAGGTTACATTGTGAAATGGGCACCGCAGATGGAAGTTCTAAGACATCCTGCAGTAGGAGGGTTTTGGAGCCACTGTGGTTGGAACTCGACGCTAGAGAGCATCGGGGAAGGTGTTCCGATGATTTGCAGGCCTTTCACCGGCGATCAGAAAGTCAATGCGAGGTACTTAGAGAGAGTTTGGAGAATTGGTGTTCAACTGGAGGGGGAGCTGGAGAAAGAAACTGTGGAGAGAGCTGTGAAGAGGTTGATTGGGGATGAAGAAGGAGCAGAGATGAGGAAGAGAGTCATCGATTTGAAAGAGAAGCTCGAAGCCTCTGCCAGAAGTGGAGGTTCCTCATTTAGCTCATTGGAAAATTTTGTCAACTCCTTGAAAACGAATAATTTCAGGAAGCAATGCCCTGTTCAAAGTCAAAAGTGTATCAGAAGAGATTCATCATTGTGAATCAAATGGCATAACGAAAATAATGGACATGCATTCTATTTTGAAGTGTAATATGATTTGGCTTTTTGGCAGTTGTCACCAAATAATGAAAGGCTTGAGCTTCTCCACTACAGTTGTTGAGAACAAGTATCCATCACTTGAGCCCTTACAGTAACTTGAATTATTTTCACTTTGTCACCGTAACCAAACAGCTCAACTGACCCAATCGGGCCAGTTAGGTTTCAGAGTAAGATCAACAAAGACTGTCAGGTAAAGTTTCAAGGGTCACTTAGAGTCGGTTGTTGCATGTGCCAATGCCATCATCTTCCATGAATATCATGTTCTCTGCTAAAGGTGCTCTGAGCTTGCTAATGGTGAAAGGAGAGGGTGTGAAGAGAAGATTCTGTCTCACAGCTTCAAGCCTCTGTCAAAAATGGAGGACTTTCATACAACTTAATTTCTTTTGTAAACTTCCAATAGGATTTAACCATATTAATTACTGAAACTTTCCTATTGGATTGATTCAACATAGATTCCGCCAATGAACAAACAGATTCTTCAGATGAAGCGGTGGATGAGTGAGCTCTATACATCATCAACTTGGATTCTTTGCTCACACGAAAGCATCAATTTGTTTAACCTGTAATAAACCGATCGGTACACTTTATCAAAACCCGATAGATTTCGGTTCGATTATAACCAAATCCGAAACCCCTAATTTTCTTTTTCCAATCTCACGATCCCAATCCCAGTTGTATCATTATTTCTTCTTAGTTTCTCTAGTTCTCGGTTTTTCGCCGTCGATACGTCTGCAGATTCCCCGTCCAAGTAAGTTTTAAATTTGGTGTTGTTATTACTCTGTTAAAAAGCTTATGAAATTCGAGACATTCTTGCTTGTTATGCAGAGAGATTCATTTTTATGAGGAAATAGATGAAAATGTTCTGTTTTTTTAATTGGGGATTAGGAAGAAGAAGCAGGACACTGGTCAGAAAAACCAATTTCTTATGGACGCAACGGTTAAAAACTCAAGTCGTGATGGTGGTGAGTGGAAGGTGGTCTTACCTAGTAAAGGAAGACAAAGAAGAAGAAAACCAAAACCTAAGGTTCAAGAAGAAGAAGAAGAAGAAGAGCAGCCATGGAAATCGGATGATGTTGAAATTGATCCAAAGAGGCAAGCAAGACTAAGGAAGAAGATGGATATCTCTATGAATAAAATCGAAAGCTCAAAGTTCTACACGGCGTTCTTAGAACAGCTCAAGTCTCCCGAGGTTTCAGACCAGATTCGCCTTGTGTTAGGCACTGAGACAAAGCTTCAGATGGTGGTGTATGGCATAGGAAGCATCGAGTCCTATGAATCACCAAGGTTTCAGCTGAGCATTGCAATCTTGATGAAGAGAGAGTTTGATTGGGTTGGTGACATAGAAGTATTCGATCCAGTCCTGTCGGCAACTGAAACTAGCGTTGTAGAATCTCTGGGATGCACTGTTCTGTCTGTGAACGAGCAAGCTCGCAGGGAAGCTTTAAAGCCTACTCTTTTCTTCATGCCACACTGTGAAGCCAATCTGTACAGCAACCTACTGCAAACAAATTGGAGATTGGATCGATTGTCACGAATCGCATTGTTTGGGAACAGTTTTCAGATGTACGAGGAGCAGGTGACGTTGGATCCACAAGTCATCCGTGGTACCAAACGGATCATAGCTGCACGAAGAGTCACGAGTGAGTTTGCTATTGAGACGGTATCAGAAGATTATTATGCAGCTTTCCATGATTTAAGCTGGCATTTTTTCAGTTCTGGTGTAGATTCAGAGCTGCCATTGTTGGTTTCTGATGGATTATAGATCATTTTGAACTTCTTCCATCCTTTTTTCTTCAAAATCTTAGCCATCAAGGGGGGGGGGGGGGGGGGGGGGGACAAAACCAATTGAAGATGTTGACTGATCATTGCAGTCAATAAAGATAAAGTTTAATGCTTGGTTTACTCATAATAAAGATGCATGCCTCCCGTTTTTAAACTATCACAATCAGTTCCATTTAATTTCATATTCCATTTTCCTTGAAAAAAACGAGTATGTTACCACAAATTAACATTGTTTCACTCTATTGTTCTGTGTAGCAAACAGTACGTTGATATTCTCGTTTTACATTTGTGTTTGTTGTCTCCAAGTTGTGGCAATCAGTTCTAGAATTGCGTTTTTGTCTATTTTCATTAACTGCAAACACAGACAAAAGGTAGTTGACCAACCGTTTCTTTAATTTTTATTATTAAAAGATGGCAATTACAAAAGTTAATACAATGCGAGTTGCTTTCTGTATGTATTTTATCGCCGTGGCACCACATACATACTTAAATACATAATATAAGATACGATCAGACGAGTCGGTTGATGTAATGTATTTTTATTAATTTGGCACGAATAATTTATTGAACCATCAACGTGTAAGAAATCTTATATTCAAAAGACTTCACCCTCCACCTCATTGCTGAACATAATAACATATGTCACAAATTATATAAACTTTTATTAACTTAAGAAATGGAAAAACAACATTATTTAGCAGCAGACTCGGCACACTTTTGGTTCTGGCATGATTCACAGGTTGCAACGATGTCGTTTTAGTGGCTTTCCCCAGAAAAAACGGAGATTAAATGGGTTCCACATAGGTCCCACAAACCGCAGACACGGCGCTTCTTTTGAATTTTCTCTTCACGAACTTGGCGTTTCCACCTCCGCCATTTGGTCAAAACAGTCACAGACGCCTCGAACGCTCCTTCTCTATACATAACGGCCGTTAATACAATTATACTTCCGCTATCTTCTACCCAGTCAAACACTTACCACGTGTCTATTCACCGTCAATTCCCGACGCTGTTAATTCCGCTCCTACGACTGCCTTAAAAACCACGTTTTCATTTTCTCATCTCAACCTCTCTCATTAATTAACTCTAGTCAGCGATCCTTCTTCTTCTTCTTTCAGATTACCTCACCGAATGTGAAGTTTCAGATATGCCGTCAACGCCTACGACGACAACGCCGATTACGGCGTCTTATTGGTGTTATAGCTGCACGCGATTCGTCAGCGTCTGGGCTGAACAAGGCACCACCGTCAGCGTCGCCTGTCCGCACTGCGACGGCGGTTTCATCGAAGAGATTAACGACTCCTCCTCCACCGATGCCGAATTACCGACCCCAGCTTCCACTGAAGTTAGATCGATCAACAGCAGCCGTACATCCGTGATTAGACGCCGGAGATCCGGTCGTCGTCCGTCGTTTAACCCGGTCATCGTCCTCCAGGGAGGCGCCGGCGAGAGAGATGAGGGAGAGGAAGGAGACGGTGCAAGGGATCGACGTGCTTTTGAGTTTTATTACGATGATGGATCTGGATCGGGTCTCAGGCCGCTTCCGGATTCTGTATCTGAGATCTTGATGGGATCGGGATTCGAGCGGTTGCTTGAGCAGCTGAGTCAGATCGAGGCGTCCGGCTCGGGAATCGGTAGATCCGGGAATCCTCCGGCGTCGAAATCGGCGATTGAGTCTTTGCCGAGAGTCGAGATCTCGGATTGCCACATAGGCGCGGAGGCGAATTGCGCTGTTTGCACGGAGGTTTTCGAGCCTGAGACGGAGGCGAGGGAGATGCCGTGCAAGCACATTTTCCACGACGACTGCATCGTGCCGTGGCTCTCGATCCGGAACTCGTGCCCCGTCTGCCGATTCGAGCTACCTTCGGAGCCTAACCGACGAAGCAGCAACAACGAGGACTTTAACGCCGTGGGGATGACGATTTGGAGACTCCCCGGAGGCGGATTCGCCGTCGGGAGGTTTAACGCGGCGATGAGAGACGGAGAGAGAGTTTTGCCTGTGGTGTTGACAGAAATGGACGGTGGTGGGATTGGTAACAGCGACGGTCCTAGACGGATCTCATGGGTTAGAGCACACGGTACACTGGAGTTAGATAGCAACAACGGTGCTGGCTCCGGCTCTGGAGGCAGATTGAGGCGGATGGTTCGTGGAATGGTGTCGTTCATGAGGAGGGTGAGACCTAACCGCGGCTCAAATTCCTCTGCTGCTGCTTCATCTTCTTCCAATGCTCTGGATTTGAACATTGAAGTAGAATCAAGGGTTTTGGATCGGTCGAATTCAGTGCTGAGAAGATACTTCAGAAGAAACAGAAGTAACAGAGATGCTTCAGTTCTGCATTGAGAAGTAATATATATTATATTTTTTTGGTTTTGTTTGTTCATTCAACAGTGTAAATTATAAGAATTCAGAAGAAAGATTTGGAACTCCGTTTTATTTTTAATTCGATCGATTCTTCGTATGTTACATTACATCAAATGTCTAATGTTCGTTCAAATTTTCATCATTTCTTTTTTTAGCCTTTATCATCGACAAAGATCCGAGATTTTGGCTCTTTGGTTTCCGAGAAAGTAAAAGAATGAGCTTTTCTTCCTCGGATGCCAAGAGTAGGGACTAGCTGAAAGATGCACAGAAAAAGAAAAAGAAGATGAAGAAAAGTCGTGAGAATTGATGGTTAAGTTGCCAAATTTGAATTCAAAATTGGACATCTTTTAATAACTGAACGGTACCGTTGTTATTATGTTTAGGAATGATTGACCAAGTCAAAACTGTCTAGTTAAAATATTGAACGATGAGCTACATAAATTAAACTCTTTTTACATAAGTAAAATTCATTTCTCGGTAAATGTAAGTTGAATCTAAGGTCTATATGCATAGTTCAGTAACTAAAGTCAATGTGTGTATGAGAGAGACAGAGAAAGGCAACATTCAAGTAATCACTCAGACATATACAGTCAGAAATCCACAAAAACAGACATATTTGGTCCCCACTCACTAATGACTAAACTCCAACCGTTGGTTATCTCAGTCTTTTTCCTTTTTCTATCCTCATTTTTTGCTTTACCTTCTTCAAAGCCGTCCATCTTGTAACAGAATAATAGAAGGAACAAAAAAAAATGGTGATAAAAAACGCGACCGAATTCGATTCTTATATCGAGCGCAAAGCTTTCGACGAGACAAAAGAAGGAGTAAAAGGCCTCGTCGACGCTAAAGTCACTGAAATTCCTCGAATCTTCCACGTCCCTAAAGATACCTTAACCGACAAGAAACCCTCTGTCTCTGTTTCGGACCTAGAGATCCCTACCATCGACTTTGCAAGCGCCCACGTGGACACAGCGTCACGCGAAGCCGTCGTCGAGAAAGTCAGATACGCGGCGGAGAAGTGGGGATTCTTCCAGGTGATCAATCATGGTGTTCCTTTGAACGTTCTTGAGGAGGTTAAAGATGGAGTTCGCAGGTTTCACGAGGAAGATCCTGAGGTCAAGAAACGATACTTCTCTCGTGATTCCGCCAATAACAGAATTGTCTTCAACAGTAACTTCGATCTGTACAGTTCTACGCCGTCTGTTAACTGGAGAGATACTGTCACTTGTTACATAGCTCCAGATCCTCCTTCTCCTGAGGAATTCCCAGTGTCTTGCAGGTAAAGTAAATAGACTTAACTTCTTTTTCTTTTCATTAATATATATATGGAGGTCACAAACCAAAGCCCTAATCACCGATCAGAGCTGCAAATCGCAATAGCCATGTTTATTTAAGAAGGATATGCTTCTAAAATTGTCCAAAGCACAATCCCATTTGTTTCGGTTTGATACGATTTTTATTTAGGTTCGGATAGCAAATTTGTCTTTCATTTGAAGGAATTTTAAAGGGACTGAAGTTTTAATCGTTTAATATTTTACAATTTGGTTTAAGCTTTGTTTTCCTTGAAAAAAGAGTGAATGATTTCTAACATTATTGATTGACTCAGGGATGCTTTAATCGAATACTCAAAGCATGTGATGAGTTTAGGTGGTTTGCTCTTTGAGCTACTCTCAGAAGCACTAGGTTTGGAACCTGAGATCCTTAATAGCATGGATTGCTCGAAGTCTTTGCTTATGCTCTGCCATTATTACCCACCTTGTCCACAACCAGATCTAACTTTGGGGGTTAGTAAACACTCAGACAACTCTTTCCTCACTGTTCTTCTTCAAGACAACATCGGTGGTCTTCAAGTTCTTCATCAAGACTCTTGGATCGATGTTCCTCCTCTTCCAGGAGCTCTCGTCATCAACATTGGAGATTTCTTACAGGTGAATCAAGAGTCCGAAACAAAATTAACCTAATACCTTAGAATTAAACTGTGTTTTGTTTAATATATGCTGAAATTGATTTCGCAGCTGATAACGAACGATAAGTTTGTTAGTCTGGAGCATAGGGTGCTTGCAAATAGACAAGGACCAAGGATTTCAGTAGCAAGCTTTTTTAGCTCAAGTAAACATCACAATTCCAAAGTTTATGGACCGATGAAGGAGCTTTTGTCTGAAGAAAACCCTCCAAAGTACAGAGACATGACCATAAAAGAATACACAGAAGGATACTTTGAGAAAGGTCTCGATGGAACATCGCATCTCCTGAATTTCAAATTATGAAAACAAAGCCACATAAAGAAATTTCTGTGGTTCTTATCGCCAATTACTCTGTTCTTGGCTCTGCAATAACAAACATAAATATATATAAGAATAGCGTGTGTGCGTGCGTATCTAATTACTCTGTTCTTGGCTCTGCAATAACAAATATACATATATATAAGAATAGCGTGTGTGCGTGCGTATCTATGTATTTGTTGAGCTACCCTGTATTTGGATCTTTCTACTTTAGCCATAAGTATCCGACGACTACATATCAGTTACTAGTACACTCAAATTTCGGTAAATAAAGTGGAATCTAGGGATATATGCATATTTAGTCCATAATAAAACAAAAGCGGAGAAGAAAATTCAGCTACGACAAGTCGTTAAAGCGAACGTGAGACAACACAAATTGATTTATCATCAGTTACAAAGTCCACATATTCGGTCCCGCACACTAAAGACCAAACTCCTACTGTCAATTCTTAATCGTCCATTTTCATCTTTATCTTTCTTCTAAGCAGAGGAATCTTGTAAAAAGGGAGTAAAAAAGAAAAATGGTGACCAAAGACTCGATCGAATTCGATCCTTATATCGAAAGAAAGGCTTTCGACGAGACAAAAGAAGGAGTAAAAGGCCTCGTCGACGCTAAAGTCACCCAAGTCCCTCGAATCTTCCACATCCCACAAGATTCCTCAACAGACAAGAAACCATCTGTCTCCGTTTCCGACCTAGAGATCCCTACCATCGACTTTGCAAGCGTCCACGTGGACACATCGTCACGTGAAGCCATCGTGGAGAAAGTCAGATACGCAGCGGAGAATTGGGGATTCTTCCAGGTGATCAATCATGGTATTCCTTTAAACGTTCTTAAAGAGATTGAAGATGGAGGTCGTAGGTTTCACGAGGAAGAGCCTGAGGTCAAGAAACGATACTTCTCGCGTGATTTCAGCAAGAACAAATTTGTCTTCAACAGTAATTTCGATTTGTACAGTGCTTCTCCCTCGGTTAATTGGAGAGATGCTTTCTCTTGTTACATGGCTCCGGATCCTCCATCTCCTGAGGATCTCCCTATGGCTTGCAGGTAACGGAAACAGACTAACACTTTTTTTCTAAGCTGGGGATCTCCTGAGGATCTAGACTTCGTTTGACTTGAACTTGATAGTGATTGATTTCTAACATCATTGATTGACTCAGGGATGCTATGATCGAATACTCAAAGCATGTGATGACTTTAGGTGGTTTGCTCTTTGAGCTTCTCTCAGAAGCACTAGGTTTAAAACCTGAGATCCTTAAGAACATGGATTGCTTGAAGACTATGCTAATGATCTGCAATTATTACCCACCTTGTCCCCAACCTGACCTAACTTTAGGGATAAGTAAACACTCAGACAATTCCTTTCTCACGCTTCTTCTTCAAGACGACATCGGTGGTCTTCAAATTCTTCATCAAGACTCTTGGGTCGATGTCTCTCCTCTTCCTGGAGCTCTCGTCATCAACATTGGAGATTTCTTGCAGGTAAAGTCTAAAGAACAAAAAAAAAAAAATGAGATACCTTTAAACTTAACGTGTCATATGTCTAAATGTGTTTGGGTTTGAGTTTGCAGCTGATAACGAACGATAAGTTTGTAAGCGTGGAGCATAGAGCGCTCGCGAATAAAGAAGGGACAAGGATTTCAATAGCGAGCTTTTTCAGCTCAAGTGCACTTCCCAATTCCACGGTTTATGGACCGATAACGGAGCTCTTGTCTGATGAAAACCCTCCAAAATACAGAGACATGACCCTAACAGAGTATACAGATGGCTATTTTGCGAAAGGACTCGATGGAACATCACATCTGTCGAATTTTAGGATATGAATGAAAACGATAGCATGATGATCGACTCTGTTATTTGAAAAAAAAAATGATCTACTCTGTTCTTCGCTATGCAATAATTAAATCAATGTATCAAAAATAAGAAAGCATAGTCTCTGTGTGTGTGTATGTTGTTGAGCTACTCTGTATTTATTAGATCTTTCTATTTTTGTCATACGTATTATACTATAAATGAATGCTTTGAATTAATCTAATGATACAAAACTTTATTTACCTCTTCAATTCATGTTTGAGGCACATATGAAGTTCATCAGCGTCAAGAGTATACCACACCAATTTTATATTTGCTTATTTATATACGGAATAAAGAACGAACAAATTTGTCGACTCCTACTATAATTATAGTATCCCACGTCCCTATTAACTTATTTACGTGGATATTTCTGTCGATAATGTAGAAGAAGTAACGAGTCTACTTAATTCAATGTATATAACGTATAGTTATTAATATTTTATGGATGAAAGGTATATTGATATTATGATATCTATATAGCTGTGATTTATGCTTGGATTCGTCATGCACTCCATCACCAACAAAATATTTAAATATTAGTTTATATAATTTGATAGATAGTCAAAGGACGGGCACGGTCTATATATATATAAAATATTTCCAGTTTTCAATTTCTTATGCAAGAGCCAAGATGTGTTGGTTTTGTGGACGTGTTACCCTTCGAAGCAATGTTCCATAAAATCCAAAATCAGAACTTGGATGATTCGGAACTTAATGCGCTAAGTTTAGTATATATATATTTTGCAGCCATGATTGCGTAAGATCATATTATAACAAATAAAATAGTATAAGAGGACTGATATATAAGTGTAAATTAACCAACTTCCCACTCGTTAGAGGCTAAAATTTTGTATCAAAACTAAAAAGAAACATTCACCTAATTATGTAATTATATATATATGGTAATTAGTATGTGTATAACTGTGAAAATCTTATAAGATGTAAAATATAGAGATCCCTAAAATACATGCTGACAGAGAAAATAGATACATTATTCACCTGCCTATAACAAGACTCTCATATCTAGAAATCGATTGAAATGGAGATATCCCATTAATATTTTGGTAAGAACGGCTAATTTCTTACGAAATCTGTTTGACATATATTCTGCATAAATTTAGAAAATTTTATTTTCAGAGTTGTTCTAGTTTGCCAAAACAGATCACCCAATCAATCTTGTATCTTTTATTCTTCCCTGTTTTAAATTTTGGTATCGTTATATTATATTATACAATGATTGTATCCGGTACAATCCATTTCACAAGGAACCAGCTCTTTGGTCGCCGGCAATTTAGTTATTAACTTATGTATAATTTTACTTGTGTAGTACACAATTCCAATTGCTTCGCCGTTGTACTAGTCACAGCAAACTTCCTAAAATAAAGTCAACACTGTACTACAAACACAACAATACACAATTATATACACTATATATGCTCATGAAGTGAAAAACAAAACAAAAAACAATAACTAAAATGGCTCTCTCTTACAAAACCCTAAAGTCAACTCTCTTCTTCCTCTCTATTCTTTTCCTCAGCTTCTCCTTGATCATAGCTCACGGCGGCATAGAAGACGGGGATGAAGAAGATGAGGGGACGACGGCCAACCAGCCACCTCCGGCCACTGGAACAACCGTCGTGAATCTCCGGTCGAAAGACCTGGTGCTTGTGAAGATCTACTGCCTTATAATTCTCTTCTTTAGCACATTTTTGGCGGGGATATCTCCTTATTTCTACCGGTGGAATGAGTCGTTTCTTCTCCTCGGAACTCAATTCTCCGGCGGAATATTCCTCGCGACCGCTCTAATCCATTTTCTAAGCGACGCCAACGAAACTTTCCGAGGTTTGAAACACAAGGAGTATCCTTACGCCTTCATGTTAGCTGTCGCTGGATATTGCCTTACGATGCTCGCAGACGTTGGAGTTGCTTTTGTAGCGGTTGGGAGTAATAACAATCACGGCGCCGCCGGAGGTTCGAGGGTGGATGATGATGACGTGGCGGTGAAGGAGGAAAGCCGTGGAAATGGTACTCATGTGGATGTGAATCAAGCGATTGTACGGACGAGTGGGTTTGGAGACACGGCTTTGCTGATTTTTGCACTTTGTTTTCACTCCATCTTTGAGGGAATCGCCATTGGTCTCTCAGGTAACAATCACTTTAAACCATGTATATACTTGCTTCTTCTTTGATTTATACTATATGACTTTAGCTGTTTTGATGTTCATATAACGTTATAAATTTCGAAATTACCATACATTATATATCATCCAATGGATTTATATAGATGTTACGAACTCCACAAGTAATATAAACTTTGAGCCAGTTCATGATGCATTTATGTAAGTGTGAGAACCAAGCTCTCTAATGAATATTTGGACAGACACTAAAAGCGACACTTGGAGAAACCTATGGACAATATCGTTGCACAAGATCTTCGCAGCCGTAGCAATGGGAATAGCTCTCCTCAAGCTAATCCCTAAACGACCATTCTTCCTCACCGTAATCTACTCCTTTGCCTTTGGGATATCAAGTCCCTTAGGGGTCGGGATTGGCATTGGAATCAACGCCACGAGCCAAGGAGCTGCTGGTGATTGGACCTATGCGATCTCAATGAGCATTGCATGTGGAGTCTTTGTGTATGTTTCGGTTAACCACCTTATCTCAAAAGGGTATAAACCACGTGAGGAGTGTTACTTCGACAAGCCCATCTACAAGTTTCTTGCTGTCTTCCTTGGCGCTGCTTTGCTCTCTATGGTTATGATTTGGGATTGATTTTGTTTGACGCTTTGGTTTCATTAATTACTTTTTCCATTCCTCTTTGCTTAATTTCTTCTTCTTTTCTATTAAGTTTTTTTTTTTTTTGAAGAATTTAATTAATTGTAAATCGTCGACAGAAGAAAAAAAAATGTAAACATTTATACAATATGTGATAATTAGCAAATCAAATGGAGCCACATAGGCCCGGCAAATCAACATCATCTGCTACTTTTATGTCACATCTACATTTTTTGGACTATGTATGTATATATTTCATATTTGTACCGCGAGTTACTATACCCGGATGAAGAAAACGATCAAATGAAAAGAGAGGATGCTAATTAAGAGTATATTCGACTTCACTGACATTAGAAAGTACTGACATCAAATGATCAAAAAGCAGTGCGCTATGTGTATGTACGATTAATCTGAATTAAAATTGTTCAATTTGGTTTAACTGAATTTGGTACCTTTAACAGAAACCATATACGTAAATAAATATAGAAAATAGATTGATGAACACATTCATATTAGTAATCTGAATAGTAGTATCGATGGAGCGGAGCGGTCCGGACGATGGGACGAGTGATGATGGACCAACACGCTTGTTTTCACTATTCGCAGTTTGGTCCATTCTGTAGCTGAAACAAATATAAAAGTCCCCATATAAATATTGAACAGTAAACACAAAAAGAAAACAAAACACACAATTATTTGTATTTTCACTTTTCACGCTTTTTCCCACAGCTTACCGTTCAATCTATTTGGTCCGCTTGGTCCGTTACGGAACTACCCATTCAGTCTAGCTAGGTCAGTACTTAGTTTATCATCTCAGTACGATATTGTTTTCTTAAGGGTCCATTTTACAGAACTAATTCGGCCTAAGCCCAACGATGCGATTCAACCCCCCAAAAAAATACAAACAATGCGGTTTAATTTACCAATAGTTAATTATATACTTATATATTCATGGGGTAGTACACTACTATCATTTATTTTATTAACATGGAACCGACATATATAAATGCGAACGGTGGAGCTGGAACAGTACTGGTACAGTTTTGTTTTATATATGTCTTTTAAATTCCCAATGTTTCAAAGGGAATCTCTCACACTTCAATACAACTACAACCATATGAATTACTAGATTCTGAATATAATTTCAGCATAATCTTTTGCATTACATAACCACTACGTCACGAGTCAATACAAGTGTGATTCTATCAAATACTCCTGTCAGTTTTAGATTCGTTTCGTAGATATCTGAAAAGTTAAAATATAGCTACATATTACCGTTTCTCGTTTTAACGTACAATAGTGTAACTTTTTCTCTTTACGTACCATCGTAAAATAGAGAGTTATTTTAGAACATTAATATTTTGCAAAGTAGAAACTAATACAAATAATATGAATCATTAATACGTAATGAAAAACAAAATAGGAGATAACAGATGGGTAAAAAAAATGAAAAGAAAAATCGGGCAAAATCTGTAATTAAATAATTAACCTACAGTCTTTCTTCACATCTACAATGAATCTCTCAGGCGTGTTTGTGCCAACAAACGAGCATCGAAACGCAGCGTTTCATGATGTAGAACCGAGACTTGTGCTCCTTCGCCATATTACGACATTTTCGTGTGACCGAAGCTCCTTTCTGAGACAAGCTCCGAGACATGGAACACTTGGAAGCAGAAGTCGTAAAAGATGTCTCAGCTTGGCATTTTGTTGAGCCGCTTCTAGACAGAAACGGAGATTTCGAAGGAGTTGGTTTTGCTGAGAAACTTCGTCTAAAGATTGGTTCCGATGAAGGGCACGAAGTGTGTTTTGTTGAGGAGCTTCGAGTGAAAATGGGTTTTGAAGAAGAAGAAGAAGAAGATTTTGTTGAGAAGCTTCGAGTGAAAACGAAGGGTTTTGAAGAGAAATGGGTGGTTTCGAAGATGGAATCTTTCTTGGAAAGTTTCCATAACTTTTCATCATCCATGAATCAAGAGTGGGATGTTCCTATTGATTCAGCTCTTTATGTAAATGCACAACAATATATAGGATGTGTGTGTCTGTGTTTGTTTGATGTTTGGATTAAAGATAGAGCTAAGAAATGATAAAGAGCTTGGAATGAAATAGGTCAAAGCTTTTAAGACACTACTTATAATATTTAGGTACATATGTGTGTACACACACACATATTAAAATATTTAAAAAAAATCAAAGTTGAATATTTTAGTTTAAATATTCAAAATTTAAATATGTTTTTCAAATTATTGCATTTGTTATAGTAGTTTTTCCTTTTTAGTTCATTAAATAACTAAGTTGCAAACCACTGCTGATGTGTATGTAGCAAAAAACATCAATGAATTTGATTTATTTTCTATTGTTATTCTAATCAAATCTTCCAATCTCACCTTTTTGCTCGTCAATTGATTTGTATTAGCTTTATGAAACTAACCCATCGTAAGGCACACAAATCTTATATAGAGACACATACAAACCGATAAAGAAGTGAATGAATTTAAACAATCTGGATCCACTTTGGTAAATAAGTAAACTTCAATTTTGAAATAAATGAGTTGATTCGAAATTCTCCTAAAGTAGCATATACTTCGTGATAAGTTAGCTGAGATGGCTTAGTTTAACAATAATTAGCAAGAAATTGGAAAATCCTGGGTGAATTGATCTGGCTCACATGATCAAAAACGAAATGTCTTTTTTGGAGGCTTTGATATTCAGAGTTAAAAGATAAACATATCATCATGATAAATTTTATTTCAGAAAAATTAAAGACATATTTGTAGATAAAACACATTAAACCTTCACGCACGCATGACCTTTAGATGTACATTTCATCATGCTACGTTAATTGAATGGAATTATAAACAAAGCCGACAAATATATATGACTATATGAGTGATGACATGTATATTAGATGATGAAATAGTAGTAGTGGAGAATCATGGTTATTTTAACTGAACAATTTTTTTGCAGAATAATGATCAATCGCAATTTAATAACCTTTAAACCATGAATTGAACCACTAGTTAGTAATTAGAGAGAATTGTCGATATTTAACTGTTTATATGTGGATATGACTACAGGACAATTTTAAGTGTGATATAGTGACGATAATAAACCATTAGACTACATGTATATATGTATTGTTACCAATAGACGACGGATAATAACTAATATGATATGTGGAGATTCAATCTAAATTCAAACATAATATATGTTTTCCTCCACAGTTAATATGGCATAAATCGAGATTATACTTTACCGGTTAGATCTTCCTATAAAAGTATCAAGCACACAGACTTATTTAAGTATTTGTTATCGACGTCATTACTTACTTTTTTGCTTGTCGTCGTTAATTACTTATTCAAAAGCTTACAAATGTCGGATTAAATATTTTTTTAGGAGTTGGGGGGACCGTAAGTGTACGATTTAGCCAAAGAAAAATCCACCAACAAATATGATATAAACAGCAAGTGAAGTTTGAATTTGCTTTTGCATTATTTTCTTTGCACTGAGTAAATCCACCAATTTACAGAAACTTTAAAAATTTAATATATTTCTTTTTCAAAAAACCTTTGAAAACCAATTTTATCACTTCCATTTTTTCTGTATAATTCTCTTTTTAGCAAGTTTTTTCTAAAACAAGGAAAAAATGTGCCTCGAGATTCATATGATCCATGTGGAGAAATTGTTTTCTTATTCGTCGATATCGGGTCAAAGAAACTATATAAATACACAATAAATCTTGGGACCAAAGGCATAGAATTGACCAAAGAACACTTATGGACCATTTACACATGTGACCATGTGAGTTCCCCACAAACCATAACCACAAGAGACTTCTCACTTCTGAGTTCTCACTATTCACATCACCTTAGAATCTTATCAAGGTCTATCTATTTAAATATAATTGTCACTGCTTTGTTTGGTTTTTTAAAGCATATGTGGGATCCTTTGAAAGCTCTAACATGTGAATGGTTTTGCCAATAACAGAATCAAGAAAGAAACATCATAAACTTGAGGATATTTCACAAACATGTGCCTGATCAAGAATATGTCAAAGAGTCAGAAACAATAAAAGAGACGTTACCTTCTGTTTCTTGAGTCCTTGTAACATCTCCAAGACATCTCTACATTAGAGAACGACATTTTTGTTTGACAAGAGTAGCCATGTATCTGCTGATGCAGCATCATCAAGATTCCCATTCGAAAAGGAACCCTTTTCTTGGATCGAGAAGCCAAAACAAAGGAAACCACGTCTCTTGTGAATCTTAATGATACTGCATCTGCAACTACCGGCTGTTGGCAACTATCAGAGGCTAGATCTTTTGCCTTTTCATCAAGAATCCAAACAAATCTACCACAGACGAAAGACCCTTATCTGTTTGAGCTCTAAAGTTGGGGAACTTTTATGGACACCACCAAATGAACACGCAAAGAGGAAAGCAAGAGGATTCAGAAAGTAAATCAATCAGCAAGATGATTATGGGTGAGAAGCAATTGAGAGAGATAGGTGCATGAATATATACACTACTATGAAGAAAGCTAGTTGGTCGATGTAAAATCACTTGGAAAAGGACAGAACTAACATCAGGAGAAAACCTATCAGATAATTGACTTTTGAGTAGAGTGAGAGAGAGAGATCACATCAATATAACACAAGCCCACTTCACTGCACAAGTGTCAAGAATAGAAACCAAGGCTAAAGAGTTTTTTTTCATATGAAAATATCTGAAAATACTCAAGTGTTTTTATACACAAACCTCAGAACCTTTTTTCTCCAAAGTACCATGAAGAAGCCATTAAAGAAACATTTCCAGGTGGAGATGGTTAATGGGTTGCAAATGCAAATGGTCGATAAAATAAAGTTTTTATCAGGATGGGAGAGTTTTATTAAACTAATCATGATTGATTAGTATTGAACAAGTGGGATTAGGAATATTATTAGATAAGAAATGGTTACTTTATCAAATTAATCATGATTAAGATTGTTCCCTGTGCGGTTCCTTACGTGTAAAGGCGAAAACACTCACAAAGCAAGCAGCTTTAGTTTTTTAACTGGAGGTGTTCATATACTTTTAAGTCAGAGAATCAGTTAAGATCAGGAGATTTAGAAAACTAGGGTCACATGTACCCCCAATTGAATGGAATGCAGCAAATCACGGTTGGACTATGCAACAGCAAAAATGGTTCGTCACCAAATGACAAAAGTTAAGGCAATAATACTATAAAGCACTCAATCAATATATGTGTTAGGAAATAACTTAACACTCATAAGATACAGCTACAAGCAATCAAGGTGATGTGATTGGCTCGTTTGGTTTTCGTAACAGCCAATCAAGTTTCAGATTCGTGCTAACCCAAAAGTGTTGAACTCTAAACTAATATTAATAGCTAAAACCAATGTTAATGAGAAATACATCTTGAACTTGAAATTAAGGGGAACCACGAATAGCATAAAAGCATATCCTTTTCACAAGCCTAACATTCCAATAAAAGAGGGAAAAAAACCCAACTCATCTTCATTCATACATCTTTGACTGATAGATACCAGATAATTAGACACAACACATGTTCCTCTAAAGCACTAGTAAACAAAAGGAATGAACTTGTGCCTAACCTTATCAGCATAATCCGAATAGCTTTGCCCGAAACTCTCCACCATCAACTCTTCCTCCAGCTTTGCCTTCTTGCTGTAGTAAACCAGACAAACCGCTACAAGAAACAGCAGGCTCAAAGGAGCACGAAGCGCGGTGCAGTACGTAGCGATGAGAAGCATCGTCGAAGCATATATCGGATGCCTGATCCATCTATAAGGACCAAACCGCACAACAGCCGTCGGAACAACCACCTTCTCGGAATATCTAGCAAGATACAGGGTCGAATCGTAATGCATAAGCATTGTAGTCACAATCAAACCCCATATCCCTACATTGGCCCATCCGCCTGGTAAGCGATGAAGCTCAGGCCCTTCAAAAGCCGCAAGCCAATGCCCAGCCACGATGCCAACACCAAACAAAACCCGAGACCACAAAGGCGTGTTCACATCCCATTTGGGATCATGCTTGCGGGCGTAGTAATCTCCATAGAGGCGTTTCCTCACGCTTACATTGAAGAAGAAGAAGTAATGATAAGCCAAGAAGAACACAAGCGGCCAGCCTTCAAGGTATCCGTTGAAATACGCAGGAGGCACAAGTGTGAGCCATGTGAAGACTGAAGTAACAATACCAAGCTGCTCAAAGGCATTCGCTTCGCCGAGCCAATGCTTACGGAAGCAGTAAACCCCGTAACCCGCGAGACCCACAGCGAAAAACCAAGGCCAGAAGAGCCATGTCCAGCTGAAATACATCCAGAAGAATGGATCGAAAACCAAATTCGCAACCTTTTTCGCAGCCACAGTCAAAATCGAGAGCAGAAGAGTCACTTTCACTACATCCGAGGGCTTCACTTTCAATTGGCGAACTCTATTCACCAGTGAATCAAACGAGAGGGCAGGCGAGCTAGAAATCGAGCAGCTGGGCGGAACCAACGGACCTTTTCTCACTGGAAACGGAGCACATCTCAAGCTAGACGGGCTCTTAATCGCTTCAAAGCTGCGGAGTAAAGGAGTCTTTCTGGAATCAGCACGAAGCGAATGGCACTTCAGGTGTTCGTTCAAATGCCTGAACGAAAATTTCCGGTTCCCATCCAACAATGTCGCCCGAGGAACGACCTTCGAGCAGAGAAGCACGGCTTCCATGGCGAAAAGAAGAAAAAAAACGGATAGAAAGACAGATTCCGAAATCCACCGAGGATTCGAATCGATACGAAACAGCAAAATAGATGAAATCAATCCCTAACTTAGAAATTCACCGACGATTCGAAAGTCAGTGAATACAGTCTAGAAGATCATCTGAAATGGAAGAGAGTGAGCCGAAGATACTGAATTCGTGTGAGAAAGAAAGATTGGAGAAGAAGATAATTGTGTTTTCGATTCATTCTTCGTAAACCGGCCGAAGCCTACATAAAGCGTAGCTAATGGTTTATAACCGGTTTGTTCTGTTACACGAAACCGGAAAAACAGATAAACCTGACAGAGACGAAGTGAGCTTTTATTTTTACTTCTTCTTTCGGTAGTTAACAATGGGCCTACGGGCTATGAGAAAATGGTCCAATGGGCTACTATGTAAAGTATTTTAATGTCTTTAAGAGAAAGATAATGGGCTCTTGACAAGTAATGTGATGTGGGGCAAAGTTGTAAAATTGAGGAAGGTTCTATTAAAAGGCTCATTTAATTGTGTTGACTAAATGCCAGCGAGTCTTTGCCGTTGAAACCGACCGGTCGCACATGGGCGCAAGTTCGTACAAGCCGGTCGGAGAGAAGAAGTCGCTTCCTAATGTTGTTTTCACACGAAAAAAATACATGAAATCTCTATAATTTGAGAATGCAAAATAAGATATATATTTGCCATATGGGTTAAAAAATAATAGTGGAGTGGAGATCAATATGGCTTAATCAAAAACTTGGACTGGATAATGACAAAATTATTAATTAAATAAGGGGACGTTTTTGGTTTTTAAATAAATAAGAGGAAATATAAACTAATACTACATGAAAATTGCGAGTTAATTTGTTTAATCAATACTATTACTTAAATTATTATATTGACCGAGACCTCTCCCACTCACATGGAAATCAATCTGGAATTTTCGATTATAATAATAAAAATAATAGTGTATGAAATGAAAACTAGTACAGTTATGCATTTTTTTTAAAGCATACAATTATAAGCATGGTTTTGTTTATCAGCTTGCTTCACCTCGAAAATCTTATATTATTCAATAATTAGATTAGGATCTTCCAAATTTGTATCAAATAGTTTATCAATAAAAAAAAGTTATCTAAAACAACTACTATAAATTCAGAAATTTGATTTAACATTTATGTACACAAAAATACAGTTTATAATTTGTCTTTTCTCACAATTATCAATTTTAATTTTCTATGTGCTGATTTTTAATGTTATGAACCCTTTTGTGCTTATGATATAAAGTCCTCTATAATAGATTTGTTCCACTATTTAAGACCAACTTCTTCCTTTTTTACTTTTAACTAGGAGAATACTCGCGCATACGTGCATATTTTTAATTTTTTAAAAAATTGATGTTAAACCGATTTTACATTTTATATATTATATATTATATATTTTTCAGCTTAAATAATTGGATTTTAAATTAGTTGCATTAAATATTTTATAAATAAATATATTAAGATTTTGATATTTTATTAATTTTAAAATTATTAATGGATCAAGTTTGAATAAAATAAATTATTAAATAACTATTATTTTATAAAGAAATTATTTAAAAATTTATTATCATATTGTAAAAAAATTTGTTCTAACTTTTTAAAATTCAAAATATCAAATAATTGTTATTTTTATATTTGTGTAATTATTTTTATAATAATAACTTATGATACTAATAAGAAATAAGAAAACACTCTTAAATAAGAAACATAAATTGTTTTAATGATTTTAAAAACTACCAAAAATATATACTCAGTATTTTTTTTTTGGATATTAAGTATTTAATGTTGTTAAAATATTTTATCTAATATTTCATATTCTTCATATTTTTTTAGTATTATGATTAATTATACATTAATTTATGTATTAACTGTATTTCATATAATTTGTATTATTAAATTTTAAAAAATAAACCAAAATGATGAAGTGTCACTCAACTGGAGAAAGTTGGTCATCTTTTATAGTATATATTATGGTCTATATTATGTATTAAGATTTAAGAGGTTAAGTTATAATTTTGTTTTTAATATAAATTAGATAAGATTTAAAATCATGGGAATAAATTAAAGAAATGTAAACTCAAACTAAAAAATATTTTGTATTTTGATTATTTGTAAGTGTAATTATCTAATTTGTTAAGAAATCTATATTTCAGCTAGTTATGCATTTTTATGAGTTACTTATCCTATATTGATTATGTTTAATTTTGGGTTAGACATTTTATTCAAAACCTTATTTGGAGAATGATCTAGTTTAGAAAATGGTGTGTTTATATTAAAGTTATTATCTTGATTTAAAATATAAGGTTAGAACTAGTATCTATTTATATTTAGTGTCTTTGAAAATATCTATCTTGTTTTACAGTTTTGATATAAAAAAATTTGTATAATATTATTTTGTATAATACAGTTCTTCGATATAATACAATTCTTCTATATAAGTATAGGGTTTGATCCACGCTACTAATAATTATTTTAAATATTTTAAATATAATATCTTACGTATATAATAATTGTTTGAATGTAATGTTATAAATTTATAAGATAATTTTTATAAATTGCTTATGATGCATTTGAGATTGGTGTTATTTTATATGAAATATTATGTAATTATCCATTTTTTATATGGTCTTTGTGAGTTGTTTCTTTTATATTTTAAACAGTAAGAGAATTATAATTATGTTTTATGTATTTTTTATTTGTTGTGTGTGTGGAAGTTATAAGTAGTTATTTTTCTTTTGTGTTGTAATAGAAAGTAGAAGCAAATGAGTGATAATTTGTTTATTTGTTTGCAATTTGTTCTTATTTCATTTCGTAATTAGAAGTTTGAACACAAATTTAAATGCAAAACTTGATAAAATAGACATAATATTTATGAATCATTCTTTTGTCTTTTTCAATTGCTTATTTTTATCGTGAGAAGGTTATGAATTTTAAAAATCCCTTTAAAGTTTTAATCTTTGACCCGTTTACACAAAAAGGCAAACAATCCAAGCAAGCTTAGCAGGGCAAACACATATAACTTCATCGAATCTTCGACTGACAAAAAACGTCTTTCCCTGGATATTCGGTGACCTATAATTTGTGTAGATGAATAAAACGGCCAGCCTCCAAAGCTTGGATACATCTCACATAGAACGGTATGTAAGCTTACACTTGTGATCATGGTCGTATCATGGCATTTTTCTCTGACAGTTTTGGAAAGGAAAACTGGAAAAAATGTTCAGCTTTGTTATAATGATTTGATGAGCAGATTATGAAAGAGCATAACTAAAACAGATGGTTAAATAGCAGAATTTATCTATACAGGATGTAGTAAAAGGAAGAAGTTCATAACAGGGGACGTCATATCCAACATTGTCAATTATTTAAAACCGACCATTTACGAAAACATGAGCTTTCGTCAAGTTTTTTAGCTCACCCACAAAAAGACATGTTTAGTAAGTAATCCAAATTACACTATCTCTTCTACACTGTTTCTTATCTTGAAATAAATGTATACTAAACGAAGATAAAACGTCATCGAATATTAAGATAGTTAAGAAAAAAATCACAAAGATATTAGAAACACAAACGACGCAAATTTATTGAGTGAATGAAGGAACTTTAAAAGAGAGATCTCAGTTTTGTGGAAAAATTAATGATACAATTTTAAAAATGTTTTGATTCTTACTTGATCCCCTAATGCCTCATTGGGATCAGTTTTACTCAAACGATGCCTCTTCATAACAACACAAACCCAATAAACCGGATGCACAAAACAACATGATGAATTTAATATATATATGTCATACCAATTTCAGAAACTCATAATATGAAACAATGTATCTTACCTTTCAGTAGCCTTACTTCTCTTCCAGCACAAGATAATGAAACTATGTCAATATATTATCTGATGGAATTTAAAAATGAGAGTGGAAAACTGAGGAGGTGGAAAGGAGCTTAAGAAAGAGATTATGGCTTTGTGGAAGACGATGGGTTTAGTTTGGGGATGAGTCTCTATTTTAAATAGGGTTTTGTGGCATAACGTTTTTAGGAGGAGCCGAAGAGGTGTTTTCTGAAATTGATTGCGAGAATTATACATGTTGGCGTGGGAAATCAGAGGTTACATTAGATATATTTGAAGGGTTTTAATTGTTAAGAAGAGTAAGTAGATTTTGTTGGGCTTAGACGTGTTTTAGGAAGAGCTGATTAGAAGTGATTTACAATGAGAAGGTGCTGATGTGGCATGATTTTGGAGCATTTTTTCTTTGTTGTGTCTTGTAGTCAGCATTTTCTGATTTTTTTTTCTTCGGGTAGTTTTGTGGTCGTTTTATTCTTTCTTACGAACTCGTTTGTTGATATATGGTGTTTGTAGTTTTTGTTAAAGGGGAAGCTCTTTATTTTGTAATTCAATAATTTGTGCTAATTGCATATTATTGATTAGTGTTAATTGATTTGTTTGTTATTGAGAATCGTAAATTAGGGAGTGATATTATGTTGTCTTCTGTGAATTTGTTAAGTAGTATTTTTCGTATCATTTTTTTCTCTTATTTTTATTTGTAGTTTATTAGGAAGCTGTTTTGAAAAGTATCCAGATTTGTTTCTTCATTTTAATGATTAAAGATTTTGTTAATCGATTGTTAACTATAGAAAACAATATTTAGCACCTTGACAGGATTGTCAGTTATTATATTGTTGGAGTGATAAAGATCATCATCACGTACATGTAAGGAGATTATAGGATGATAATAATTTTCGGTGCTGTAGGTTTTCTGCAATTTAAATTATTTAAAATATGTAATTGAGGAAGTATTCGGTGGTCTGGTTTATATAGTCAAGTGTTATGCGAAAACATATTTGTTTTGTATGCAATTTTTGTTTTACTTGTTTGAGACAGAAATAAGTTATTTTATAATGGACTGTTACATATGTGTTTAATTAATATAAATTAATGGTTTTTAACTTGTTGA